TGTTTTTCTCCTCTTTTCATGGGTTAAGGAACAGTTGTCTTCTTGAGAACAGAGCTGTGGATGGCAGAGGCCAGGAGCTGAGCAGTGCTCTTACAATTAGTCTTTAGGATAAGCTGCCCTTCCACACATAGGGACCAGAGTTGGATGCAGACGTGATGGGGAGGAGGGACCCAGTACGTCCTTCCCATGGAGGCATGCAGCAGACGTGTATGGGGCAGGATTAAGAACTTTTGTGCCTCCTCAGTCACACGTAAATCACTCTGAGCATGTCCACCTTGCACACTAACAATACAAAGGCAATAAGAGCTGAGCTGCACAGTCTGGGTCCCCTAAAATATATTTTGCAGTCCACCTCTGCTGTTGTTGCCCACAGACCCTTCTGCTGTCCCTTCCACATCTCACATATCCTCATCCCAACTATCAACCTGCAGCCAGAATGTGAGCCGAGGACAGCCTTCCTGTGGCTGAAGGGCTTTTTATGCACAAGAAAATCACTGGTACTGGAGAAGAGCCCTGTTTTCTGATGGGAAGCACATACTGCCATAGTATCCAAACATACCTCCCAAAATGGGCTAAAACATGCCCTTTGCAGTCCACATGGACTTAAAATAAGCCCTCTTAGCACCAGTTACACAATAGAAAGGGCTCAGGTACTCTGGCTGCAGATACATTCGATACGCTGGAAGGGTTGCAGGAGCGTATCAGACAAAGTTCCTTACTTTGCTCAGGCAGCCTATCAAATATTTAACGGGCTGCCATAGGCAATTACATTAGAGGAGATAGTTAAACACCCCCTACCCTAGGGCACCCCCCTGCAATGTAAATCAAACAAATTGGACTCTTTTCACAATTGACACACACGATTTTACTTACTGTAAATAATTTAGCATTAAAAAGTCGAGCTACACTTTGCCCCATCTGAATTTTCTTTTCTCTTGCTCTCTCTCCCTGCTCCACCGAGTTGAGCAGCGTGGACTCCGGGTTCCTAATGCAATAGATGGAGTGGAGGAATTTTGCTGCCTGGGTGAGCTGTTAAAGGATTCCCATTTCCTAATGGAAGAAACCACACTCAGGAAACTTGTGAAGTTGCCCATTTAAAACAGTCGGAGATGCTCCCTGCCAGCTAACAGCAAGGGATGGGAAAAATCCCTCCCTCCGGAAGGAGTTTGGTCTATTGCTGGTTGGCATCTCCCGGGGTCATAGCAATCTCCCTGTAAAACTTGGCTGAATGTTGCACTTTTTAATTAAAAGCTATCTTCCATGATTAGGCTCAGCGGGGTTTTAGTAAGGATTTTTACAAACTGGCGTGCAGCGTTGGTCTGCATGGATAGGCATTCCTCTTACACCCCAAATGCCAGATCTGTGCAGAAAGACACGCTAAGAAAGCCGTGTTGTCACCATTGGGAACTCTTCCCATAGCCCTCATCCAGTCTCCTGGAAAAAACTGCTGTGGTAGCATGATGTTTTGAGCTGCGACTTGATGATTTTTTCTAATTGTCCTAATTTGGGGTGAGAAAGCATGCAGAATTTGGCTCTGAGGAGTCTTCTGCTTTGCCACTGTTCTCCGGATCTGAATGGGATATCACTTTATCTTGTCCTGGGTCTGTTCTTCATTACACACCTAGTTTAAATCAGTGTGAGTGCCTTGTGAAACGTTCTCCTTGATGCCATTGGCCTCTCTCAGCAGCGAGACAGCTTATAGAGTTTAGTGCATCCGTTAAAAAGCGCTTGGGGCTTGATTTTTCTGCTCCTGCACTCAAGCAAGCCATTTAAACCATCACCCGTGCAGGTACAGCCTCTTACACATTTTCCGACAAATCCAATTTCCATCAGAAAATGTCAATTCCGATGAGATCGAAGCATTTAATCCCCGAACATCTTAATTCTGATGGATGGATCCTCCCCAGGGATCCCCACAGATGGTGGAGATGAGACGTGCTCTCATCAGCCTGGGGTGGAGAGGATGCTGCTGGAGGCATCATCCTGTGCAGGAGCTATGATGGCAATGGGAAACAAGAAATTTACTTATTCAGGGCTGGATTGAAGCATAAACCTAAAATTTCCAGCGCACTAGAAATTCACAGAATCACAGAATGTTTGGGTTGGAAGAGATCTTAATCCCACGTAATTCCAACCCCCTGCCATGGGCTGGCTGCCCCCACCAGCTCAGGCTGCCCAAGGTCCCATCCCACCTGGCCTTGGGCACCTCCTGGGATGGGGCACCCACAGTTCCCTGGGCAGCAGTGCCAGGGCCTTATCAGTTCACCATTTTTGGATCAACTCCTGCTAAACCTCTGGAAGGACCATGAGGAAAAGGCAGTCGGTATACCCCATTGGCTTTCCACCAACACACCCACCTTTAGCATCCCACCATTGGCCAAAGTGTCTGAGCATGCACAGAGTGAGCCTAGACGGCTGATGAGAAGGTTGTGGCAGTGGTCACCTAAGGGCAGCCGTAGGGTCTCTGATCCATCATTCTGCAGAAAGCCCTTCAAGAGCCTTTTCCACTGGATCCTCTCCTGGAAGCCCAGAAAGTTGCATCCCCTTTGCTCTGTGTTCCTATTAATCGCTGCCAGTGGGTATAATTGGTAGCTAGAGCACACAGACCCCATTAAAGCCCATGAGGGTGCCAAATGCTCTCATTCAGGCACAAATGAAGGAGCAATCAAACCCACTTAGGTAATAAAAACAGCTGGAGTCTGCAGGCAACCGCCTGAGGCACCAACCACATGGCAGGCAGGACAATCCTCTGAAAAGTCTGCATTGAGGTGCCCTTTGATTGAAAACGTGGGGATTAGGAGGAGCACTGCAAGGGTTCATTGGCTAAAAGCAGACAGACAGAAGGAGAAATTATGAGTTGTCTTATAAAAACAACAGGGAAAAGGAACTTCTTAGGCATAGAGTTTGCTGGAGACAATTGGTTCCCTATGAGCATCTGTAAGTGTCATGGTTACCACAGTGTTCCAACTCCTTTTGCTAACTTTGCATGCTGTGGCAGATAACCACCACATCCGACCCTCACAAGGAGTAGCAACGACCTGAAGAGCTTTCTAGCTCATCACATCTGTGTAAAGGTTCGTCTCAGGATGAATTTCCAAAGCCAACCTATGGGGCTGTTGTTAAAATATTCATTATTACTACTTCTTTAGAAGCATTCCTACTTGTTTTGTTGTGTTTTTGCACATCCTGGTTGTAAGGTATGTTCTTTCCAAGGAACTGGCAAGTCCTAGATAAATCCAGAGGCTTTGGGACTGTTTATGAAGGACACCTGTTCTATTCCTGCCTAGGCTAACACAGGGGTACACCACAAACCACAAACCCATTCAGGAGGTGGAAGGAGGACAGGCTCATCCATGGATTACAGCTGGATTAGGTCATGGGCAATGCAAATGTGGGTTGTTCAGAAAGTTCATAGCCAAGATGGAGCAAACCCAGGGCAATGTGCTCAGAGCTGTGTCCTCTAGACAAGGTGACACTCAAAATGTGGAGGTTTGTGTGCTTGGAAGAGCACATAGTCCCTAACCTCCAGCACATATTCTGGGCAGCGCCTGCAGTCAATTCCTTGCAGCATCACTCAGCTTGCTGAGATGCTGGTGTCCTCGGAGGGAGTTACATCCAGGAGCTGCTGAAATGCAGAAAGTGAGGAGAGGGGCAATAGAGTGACCACCAGGAAGAGCCCAATGAAAGGAGGATAAAAATCCCTCAGGAAAGCTTCTGAGTGTCAAAAGAGAGTGAATGAGCCCACGAGCTGCCAGCTGGAAATGCCTGGGCTCACCACAAGGCACCCAGGAGGGCCAATTCACCTCCGCAATAATTCTGCCTGCGTCTCCACAGAGCAGAGAGCTCCCAGCAAACAGCTCTGGCAGTCGCATCCTGCCCATCACCTGATGCTGCAATCCCTGCGCAAGCAGCAGAGGGGAGACCATGACTCAGAGCTGTGCTGGTGGAAAGCAGGAGGGGAAAAAAGCTTCTGAGCTCCTGGATTGGCAGAGCATCAGCGTGTTGGCAGAGCTTCACTGGTACTCGGAAGATCAGAAGGAAGTATGCTGGACTAGGGTATGTAGGGACTGCCTGTTGTCCCTCTGCCATGCCTCAGGCCAACAGGGATGAGGTGTTCTGGTGGCATCAGGGGTGCTGGACTCAGGATTTTGCCCTGTGAGGCCTTCCCTCTGCCCCTGTGTGCAACAACTCCACAGCTCTGCTTTAGGGATCTGCTTGCTGCATGAGCATCATACAGTGGCTGTGCCTGCATCTGGGAAGTCACACACATCTCCTATTGCTGGATCTGATCTTTCCTGTGCAGATTCAGACCTAAAGTACTGTACTTTTGGGGCACACCAGCCTCTCAGGTGCCAGGGCTGGGTTTTCTGGCTAGGATTAATGCATGCTGCTCCCTTGATTTGCTCGGAGTATAACCAAGCGCCCTCCTACCAACCCCACAGCCTCTGTCACCATGTTCAGGATTTCTGGGGGTTTCCCTGCTCTGGGGCAGCACTTCTGCTGCCCACCACACCTGTGCAGGGCTGGGAGCAGCCATAGGGGTGGCAGAGATACAGCCACCAAACACTGCATGTGAGCAATGACTGGATCTGGGTGTGGGGGCACTCAGAGGGAAGGAGGTGCTATGAGGTGATGCTGCGTGCAGGTGTGGATGGATGGAGAAGTGTTGAAGGGACTGGAGAGAGGAATGAACAGATGGAGTAGACAATACAAAAAAAAAAAAAAAAGAATTTTAAAAAAAGAAAAGAAATGAAGAAAAAATAAAGTTGGTGAAACTTTTCCTTATTTCTCTGTTCGATGATTTTATCCCCGGGTGCCTTCTTTGCTTTTGGGAGAGTGGAGGGGGCCCAGTCGGGGGGTGAGCGGAGTGGCCACGGGGCGGGCGGAGGGAGGGGCCTGGCGAAACCTATCCAATGAGCGTCCGGGGGGGCGGGGGGGCCGGGCTATAATGCCCTCGATGCCGGGCGGCAGAGGCAGACAATACCGCGCCCCCGGAGCCGGGCAGCCCGGAGCGCCCCTGCCCCGCTCCCAGCCCAACCATGATGTCCATGAACAGCAAACAAGCTTTCAGCATGCACCCCATCCTGCACGAGCCCAAGTACCCCCACCTGCACACCAGCTCCGAAGCCATCCGCAGAGCCTGCCTGCCCGCCCCCCAGGTAAGCCAGGCGCCCCCCTTGTTGGGGTCCGTGACTTTCTTGGGTTTGGGTTGGGGTTGTGTTGGGCTTGGGGTTCCCGTGTGGTGCGATGGGGCTGGTGGGATCAAACGTCCACGGAGTGGCTCTGTCCCACTGCCCAACTCAGAGATTCCTTGGGATTCCCACTGGCTCCATCCTCTCTGCTTTCTTCTGGATGACAAGGGTCGGTGCCCGGGGTACTGCTTCAATTTTTTGGGGTGGGAGGCTAAGCTCGGTCAGCTCACCTGGCCCAGGGAACAGAGCAAGATGTCTGTAACGCCACTTGCCTTTAACCCTCTCCCATTCTTCTGGTTTGTTTTCTGCTCCCCGTTTATCCCCCCTAACCCCACATCCAGATCCAGGGTAACATTTTTGCGGGCTTTGATGAGACCTTGCTGCGGGGCGCCGAGGCTCTGGCCGCTGTGGATATAGTATCGCAGAAAACCCACCCGTTCAAGCTGGATGCCACCTACCACACCATGAGCAGCGTGTCCTGCACTCCTACCTCGTCCTCCGTGCACCTGCACCACCCGTCCGTGCTGACCACCCACCACCCCCACCACCATCACCACCAGCCTGCACAGGGCCTGGAAGGAGAGCTCCTGGACCACCTCAACTCTGCCCTCCCCCTGGGAGGGGTGCCGGGTCCCGACGTGGGCTCCACGCCATCCCACCCTCATTCCCACATGTCGGCCATTAACCACATGGCCCACCACTCCCAACCTATGAACATGTCCCACCCCCACAGCCTGGCGTCCCACGCTGTCATCTCGGGCCCCGAGACAGAGACGGACCCGCGGGAGCTGGAGTCCTTCGCCGAGCGCTTCAAGCAGCGGAGGATCAAGCTGGGGGTGACCCAGGCAGATGTTGGGTCTGCGTTGGCCAACCTGAAGATCCCCGGGGTGGGCTGCCTTAGCCAAAGCACAATCTGTAGGTTTGAGTCCCTCACCTTATCCCACAACAACATGGTGGCCCTCAAACCCATCCTAGAAGCCTGGCTGGAGGAGGCCGAGCGGGCCCAGAGGGAGAAAATGACCAAACCAGAGATCTACACGGGAGGCGACAAGAAACGCAAGCGCACCTCTATCGCTGCCCCCGAAAAGCGCTCGCTGGAGGCTTACTTTGCCGTGCAGCCGCGGCCCTCCTCGGAGAAAATCGCCGCCATCGCCGAGAAGTTAGACTTGAAGAAGAACGTGGTGAGGGTCTGGTTTTGCAATCAGAGACAGAAGCAGAAAAGGATGAAATTTTCTGCTACTTACTGAAGAAGGGGCTGGGAAGGCGGCGGGGGCAGTGCCTGGCTCCCCAGCTGATGCGGCCCCCCTCAGCCAATATTCCCCCCAGAAATGGGCAGGGTTTGGGTTGATTATTTTTTTTGTTGTTGTTGTTCTGTTTTGTTTTGTTTACAAAAATCGAAAAGGAAAAAAAAAAAAAAAAAAAAAAAAGGAAAAAAAAAACAAATCTAAAAAGGGAAACCCGCCCAAAGCGATGCGAACAGCTCAGTGCCCGCTCCTCGCTCCCGCGGGCAAAGTGGCCCCGCTGTCATGACTGGTACAGACTGCTTTTGTAGACAAAACTGGAGGGAAAAAAAGAGAAAAGTGGAGAAAATGGAGAAGCTGAAATGAAAGGTCTGGGGGGGGGGGAGGGGGGAGATATGGGGGTGCCCAGAGCCAGAGCAGCGGCGGTGAGAGCCCGACAGGGCTTTGTCGCAGCCTCTTCCTGGCTTGGGCTTGGGTGGGCAAAGGGGATTGGGGCACCGCTCCCTCCTCAGTGTCCCATCTTCTTCTTTTTAAAAACTGAAAGGAAAAGGAAAAAAATAACTTAAAAAAAAAAAAAATTGAAAAGAAAGGGAACGAGCTGAAGCCGCCCCGACGGCTGTAA